AACAACAATAATAATAATAATAACCTCACAGGGAAATAATGAAATACTTTAAGGTGAAGAGGGTAGAGAGGACATAATTAATATGAAGTTTTCTTTGTCAGAATTAAACACGTCATTAAAGAAATCTGGGGAAACAACTCTTGGTAAAGATCAAATCAGTTATTGCATATTAAATAATTCATAAGGCAGTATAATTAGTCCAGTGTTATTTACTATCATGATCAATTATATTTTTATCCATACAGTCCATGGGTATCTCGCTATTTGCAGATGATGGGATTATTTGGAAGAAGGGAAGAAATAAAGAATTCATTAAAGCAACTTTGCAAGAAGCTTTATACAGTTTAGAGTCTTGGGCATTAGAATGGGGATTTAGATTTTCATCATCCAAAAAAAGTTTTGGTCTTTCAAATAAGAAATCAAATCTTCATATTAATGTTAAATTATATGAGAACGCTATAGAAAAAAATAAACTTACATGGAAAATGCCTGCAGATAAATAACAAAAGGGTAAAAGGATTTTAAATATATTAAGATCCTGGAGGGGCAGAGATTCCACCATGGATCCTTGGACAAGTTACTGACTAACATTTGCTTGAAAAGGGAGACAGACAGTAAAGAGGTGGGTAAATACATGGAAAGGGAATATTCGGAATATATCAAGATCATTACAGATGCTTCTGAAATGCTCGAAAATAGAGTAGGTATATCCTTTGTTATTCCAGATCAAAATATTGTGGAAAATAAAGGAATACAGACAATTTAGCAGTTTATACAGGAGAACTAATGCCAATTCTGATGGCATTAGATTTGGTAGAGGAAGGTTTTAGTATGTTCAGACTCAAGTGGCGCTTTAACACGTATTCATATATGCAGTCAGAGCCAGGACCAGACATTGCATTAGAAAAAACTCATTCAATTTTCAGGATAAAAAGAAATGGTACAGTGGTCAAGTTAATGTGGGTTCCTGCACATATTGGCACAGAGAGAAACAGGTTGGCTGATAAATTTGCAAATGTTCAGCAAATAAAAATGTGTTCGATTTGAATGTAAAAATGAGCAAAACTGAAGTCAAGTTGCATATTAAAAACAAATGCCAAGAAGAATGGGATGGGGAAGTAAGGGCTACATATTATTACAATATTCAAAAGAAAGAGGGTGATTTTATAATATGTCATAGAATAAATGAAAACAAGAGGATGTTATATCAAGGATGAAAGTTGGCCATATAGGATTAAATGGCACATGTAAAATAGTTAGCAAACATGCTTCAGGTTATTGGGATTATTGCAGATGAGTTTCAACAGAGCATATATTTTCTTAGACGGTAATAAAAACTGCCACGAGAGAGGTGTTAGTCAGAAACCTTCACAAGAACAAGAATAAGATAAGGATGAGAGTATTACCTCAAAGAGCCTAAGGGGATACAGTTTTTGTTGATATTTTGTGGAAAGAAAAGGGAATTTTAAAAAGAATATAGTGGTGGTGGGGTGGACTGTAATCCATTCGCCGATCTAAAAGGTGGCAGTAATGCATCCAAAAGGTGTTTAACATCCGCCATTAAAACAGAAGAAGAAGAAAAAACGAATGAGGGGAGAAGAAGAAGGAGGTAAAAGAAAAAGGCATGGTGCTCAAAACTCATAACTGTAGAGACAAAGAACAAGACGCGGGAACGAGAGCGGCCACAGCTGCTATGATGGCAAATGAAGCTTTGTGCAGTTTGTAAAAAGGTTCATTACGTGAAGCTTGTCAACACAGTCCTCTCTGGTGACACCTGCTGGGCAAAAATGTGAAGAGCAGCTCGAATCTACAAATTAAATGAAGTGCTTCATTATGATTGCCCTCTCTGCAGAGCTTCAGTTTAATATCACGTGACATTTCTGTGTGATGTCAGGTTGCCACTGTGGTGCTTTAAATATTTTTTTGTAGTGGAAGAAAACAAAATATTATAAACAGAATTTGAACACGAGGAGTCAAGTAAAAAAGCTCAAATGGGCTTTACTTCATACACAAACTTCTCAGCTGAGCTCGTTTTCCACCTTGTTTTCTTCCTGCTTCTTGTTTTTTCTGCAGTGTAAAGTGTATACTCAAAAAATGAATGCTTATGTGCAAACCTTGTTTGCACATGTTTGCAACATGTGCAAACCTGCAAGTTTACCTTAATTTTTTTCTTTTTTTAGCTGATGTCCAGCCGGAAGAGGAAAATGACTTTTTCCAGACTGCTTTTGGTAGTCTTCATACTGGATGGTTGTATTTTGTGTTTGCGGTCTAAGACATGTTATATATTTCTGAGCTACATTAGTTGTGCTACGTCTTAGTCAGCTTAGTCTGCTTTTAAAGAAAATGCTACCAGCTCTCCTCTGGCTGAAGTTCTTGGGATACATGGCCTCTGCATGTGCACTCTTAATGGGGGAACGCTGAATCTCGTTTACCCTCACGAACCGAAAGCTTGCTTTGAAGTATTTCAGAATTTCTTCCTTCATCTGGATGCCGAGGTACAGCTGCTCAGGAATAAACGGGCCAACAATTGATTTGGAGGCTGAATGTTCTGTCAAATGGGCAGAATTTCATTTTAGGCTGAAAGTAAATAAAATGATTGATTGTCTGAAAATAGCAGGGGAGGGAAAAACAACACTTGAGAAAATATTTGTAACGTTTGTTGAAGGGTGGTGTGTATGTCATAATTTGGTGAAAATGATATTGATATGAGGTAGTAGTATCTTCCTATTGTATTCATATTCCATGCAACATTATGTAAATTAAAAGGCCAAATACAATACAGACTAAGAGTAAAGAAAAAGTATGGAAGCCCGTTTCTGCCACTAAAAAAAAAAAAAGGTCCATATCTTGAAATTTTGAGATATTTTCTCAAAATTTCAACTTATTTTCTTAAAATTTTGACTTCTTTTCTCGAAATTTCGACTTATTAACTCAAACTTTTGAGAAAAGTAACTCAAAATTTCGAGTTAGCACTGCCAGTCAGTAATCTGAATGACGTAATTTCCTTGTTGCCCTGAAGCTGAAGCCCTCAGGTACAAATGCTACAGCTAAGCTACCGGTATTACATCCAGTCATGAATAAACAGATTACTGAGTATTTTCAGCGTGGCTTCAACAATGATGGAATCCTTGTGTTATTAGCTGAATCACACGGCGTTACTATCAATTTGTTGCGATCCGGTTTTGAGTGTGTGTTACTTTGTGCCATATGGGTAACAAGAAAGTGACCTCATTCACGTCGATTACCGATTGGAAGAGCTAACTCAAAATCTCGAGTTATTAACTCGAAATTTTGAGAGAAGTAACTCGAAATTATAGGTATGGATATGGATACTTGTTTTTTTGTTTTTGTTTTGTTTTTTAATGGCGGAAACGAGCTTCCATACAAAAGTGTGTGTCACGGTCCTGAGTCTGTGGACTCAGTGTTTTTCTGTTTGTATTAGTTATCTTTGATTTCATGATGTGTTTTGATTCTCTTGGGTTTGATTTCTGTCACTAGTATTCCTAACTCCCTAGGTCCTTGGCATTTCTTGTGTTCTCCTTCTTAGGTCGTGGTTCTGTGTTACTTCTGTTAGTATACAGTCATTTCTGTCAGTGTGTCTCTTGTTCTGTCACTGTATCCCCTAGTTTAGTCCACCTCTGTTCAGTTTCCTGTTTTACTTTGAAAGTCTGTGTACTATGTCAATGTGTTGAGTTTTGCCTCCCCTTGTCTTGTCATGTCTGATGAGTCCCAGCTGTGCTCTCCTCCTGTTTCACATTCCCTAATCACCTCAGTAAGTATTTAAGCCCTGTGTTTTTCCCTGCCAGGTGTTGTGTCCTCCACGTTTGTTGTGTGTGTATTCATTGTCATCTACCTTCAGCATCTCCAGTCTAGTTAGTTAAAGTTGTTGTTTATGTATCGCCAAGTGTGACTCACCAGCAAATAAAGCTGTCGTTTAAGTTCATGTTTTGTCTCCGAGTCCTGCACGTGGGTCCAGCCATTGACAGCCACACAACTCATCGTGACAGTGTGATTTGGAATGGAGTGAATGTATGTAAACGCTTGCAGCACATGTGCATATGTAATGTTGTGAGGTGTACTTTGTTTATTTTCGGGTTTTTTTTCGTTACATACAGATATTTAATTTTTAAGACTTTGGCAGATATGGATGTATGTTAATATTGTGCATCAATTATTTTTATGCTGAATCTGTTGACAGACTGTTAGTTTGTAAACATGATGGGCCAGCAGTGTGTGTTTCAGTTATGCCACTGCTGTATTGTGTCGGCAATAAATAAAATTTAAAAAAATATGCCGGGTGTCCTACATTCAATTGTGTGGAACCTGTTGACAAAATAGAATTATGTAAAACTAATTAGTAAAATATAAGTAGCGTGAAAATGTAATGTTTTAATCAATTAAACTTAATTTTAAAATTTTACTACGACAAATAAAAGGTGAGTTGAAAAACCAAATATGTAATCTGTAAATAAATGACTGAACTTGAGTAAAGTTAAATATGTCTTGTTGATCATCAGTCATTTTTTTAATTGGCTCAGTTCAAAATAATTTTGTTATTGTAGTGCAACAATCTTTCTTTCTGACTTAACCCATATTAAAAGCAGCTAACTGCTAAGTTTCTGTTCATTTGTCTAACGTACAGCTGTTCCCTGAGTGAAAAGGAGGAGCTACTTTGTGAAATGAACTTCTATTCAAAAAGATTATTTAGTTATTATCGTGTGGAGACAACAAGCACAAAGACTTTTTTTTAATTTGTGCTGCACTCAAATCATTGACACATTACTCAAAAATTATTCACTGATGATGATCAAAACACCAATTCTACTTAGAAAGTATTTGACTAGACAGTTGTGTAAAATTATGTTTGATGTGACAGGCGTATTTTTTGGAGTTCAATCTCGGAACATTTAAGGAAACCACATGTGATGGGTCCAGGTCATTTTCTCTGGGCACTGAGGTCTGTTGTCTGCTGCAGCTCCCTCTCTGCCACTGGGAAAGTTTTACTCTAGAAAATAACAGGAAATATTAGTGAGCTGATGTCCAGAGTCAGCTGTAGGAGTAATAGTATGTTTAGTTTTTGATTGACTTTACTAATTTTCACCTTTGTACTATAAGTAGAACATCAAAATGTGTGAGTGTTACCTGTTCCTTTTGGGAGCACATTTTTCTGATAGTATCCTGCATTGGTAATGTTACCAGCTGGGCGGTACTGCCCAACCACAAA